CGAGAAGAAAAATACTTTTCAGCATCACAATTATGTTGTGCATCAAAATGTAATAGTCACACAAATGAGAAGTGATGAGCATCAAATAAGGAAAAGATATTAGTCTAATTATAATGAAAAAATCTTAATATATAAGCAACATTTAAAAGTAGAATAATTTCTGGACTGAAATTATTCCTAATACTCACTGGATACTGGATCATTGCTGGACTCATCCACATATAGAATCATAGAGTCACAGAATGGCTTTGGTAGGAAAGCAGCTTACAGACAATCTGTTTTTAACTCCTCCACCATGGACAGGGACACCTGGGTGCTCAGAGCCCCATCTAACCTGGCCTTGAACACTTCCAGGTATGGGACATCCAAAGCTTTTCTGGGCAACCTGGTCCAGTGCCTTCTGATATCTAGTCTAAACTTACTCTCTTTCCCTTTCAAAAATGCCCCCCCCTTCTGATATCATTACCTGACTATGTAAAAAGTTACTCTCCATCTTTTTTCTAAGTCCTTCCTATGTACTGGAAGGCTGCAGTGAGGCTGCTCTCTTGGAGCTTTCTCTTTTCCAGGCTGACAACCTGAGCTCTTTCAGGTTGCCTTCACCAGTGAGGTGTTCCAGACCTCTCTTCACCTTCATGGCCTTCCTCTGGACCACTCTAGCAGGTCCACATCCTTCTTATACTGAGGACTCCAGATCTGGACACAGCACTTCAAGGGGGGCTTCACAAGGGCAGGGTGGAGGGGGAAAATCACCTCCCTTGATCTGCTGGGTGCAAGTCTTTTGATGTAGCCCAGGATGCAGCTGGCTTTCTGGGCTGAAAGTGCACATTGACTACTCATGTCCAACTTTTCACCCACCAGAATCTCCAAGTTCTTCCCCTCAGGGGTGCTCTCACTGAGATCTTCTACTCTCTTTTCATGCCTGCGATTGCCCTGACCCAGGTGCAGACCTTCCACTTGGACTTCTTGAGCTGCATTAGGTTCATATGTTCCCACTTCTCAAGCCCATAAATGGAACAATGAACAGGATCTTGATTATACTGGATATGCAAAAAATCTAATTTAAAGAGGTACAGTTGATCAGATGTCAGCCATCTTATGAGAAACCAGTTATCGTGTCCTTATTTTACTTAATATCTGAGTTCCTGGGGACACAAAACTTTTGAAAACCTTTTAACTCAATACTCTTCAGTAATTTTTAACCCTTGTCCAATATCAGGCCAATCTAGTACAAGGACAGAGACCTAAAACTCATTATGATTCTAAAAGCCTCTTAGCCGCTACTGGCTGAAAAAAGGAGAAAAACCTGCTAAAAACAATCAGAGAAAATTTTTCTTTCCTCAACACATCGGGCAGGAGCCCAGTTGTAAAAGAGAAGGCAGACAGCACTGGATTCATCACCAGGTAGGGCAGGACAGGCTGCAGCACATGGCAGTGAGGAGTGAGAGGATGTTGACTTTTCATGACAGGAAATCATGACAGTTGTCATGACAGGAAATAATGAGGACTAGATGTATTACATGGAACTGGAGACACAGAAGGGACCACACTGGAGTATGACTTTCAAAAGAAAATGAGTAGCAGATACTTTTACACTAAGTTAACTAATGAGTTATGTAAACAAGGCCAGATAGTGGATACCTCAATAGCACTGAACAGAGTTGATGTCTCCTTCTAGGATGTGAGTTTACTTTTTCAGAACTAACAGGAGCGTCTTCATATCACATTCCTATTTAAACATGGCTGTGCACTTTTCATACAATGACATACAATTGTAAAAAGAGAGGCCAAACTAATTATGCATATGCATAATTTCACATTATGTTTACTATTGCCATGAAACTATCAAGCTTCAAAAATCAAGCTTTATAAAAATTGTTTTAAGCCATGAGTTGCATTTAAATTCTGCTTTATCATAAGGAACTGAGCTATTTGTATCAAAAACCAAAATCTACAAATTAGTGTAGACACAGCAACTCTAGATCTTCTACACACTGGCCAGAACATAATCATTAGCACTTGATGTACAAAGCATTTCAATAGAAGCCTTTGCTTAGTGTGATGGTCTTGATGCTATCAGAATCTCTTCATATTAAACAAAACACAGAGAATTTATTCATCTTAAGCAACACCAGAGAGAATTAATGAAAGAAAATATACAGAACATTCTGATGTAGCTCAAGGCTGATAACAGTGCTATTAGAAGATGGAATATCTTCTACCAAATTATGAAATAAATTTATGACTATGAAATTAGGGCCCTCAGTCATCAACCACACAGATCCATCAGTGATGAAATTAACAAGAACTGAGAGATGCAAAAATCTTCCTATGCAGAGCACTGTCTGTCAGCTTACATTGAATAGGTAATCCATTTATTATTTGACTCTCAAAGGAAAGGAAATTTATTATGATGTAAGAAAAACAAACCAGTATTATACAAGAGGCACAGGAAGTAATTGATAAGCAAAAAATATGTGAGGTTTCAGACTATTCTCCTGCTGAATTCACATTCCCCTTCCTACTTTTGAGACTACTGTTTTGCAATCAGAATTTTTCAGGTGTGTTTCCTGTACCAGAAATCAGACTGATAAAATTATCCAGTCCTGTTTCATATTATTCCTGCAAGATTTTTTTCATATATGGGAAAACTATTGCTCTTCTGTTAGGACTTTCTTTGAAAGAAAGTCAGGTCTTTTAGAATGAATGCAGAGAAAAACACAATAAACCCTTTCAAGCAGATATATTTATAACCCTTATTTCTGAGTTTTAATTAGGGATTTAAAGTGTTTCTTTAAGGGGAAAATTCGTGCATATCTTACTGCTGTTGCATGTCTAATGAACACTGATCTACTAAAGCCAGAAAAATATATCTTTTCAATATATACAACAAAGTATTTTTGTAAATAAAACAAATAATAATAGCATAAATCAGATGTACTTCCCAGCACGTTCTCAAGTAAGGTACTCATACAGTTAGAATCAGATTCAAAACTCACAAGTATGGTAACGGAGAAAAGGAAACTAACCAAAAGAAAGTCTGTGGTTTAGCTGAGGCTCAGCCTGTCCCAAGGGTTATACACTCGATATAGGCAGTTTTGGTTAGCACTTCCCTGGAATTCAATTCTGAATGTGACAAGCCTCAGTAAGTCTCATTTAGCATTCCGTCTAATAAGGAAATTGAAGAGAAATTTAACTGAAAATCATGGCACACAAAGGAAACAGACGAAAAAATAAACAAAGAAGTTATTTCTTTTAGGGTAAGACTCATGTATATAGTTCATGATGGTAAAATGGCCTTTTTAAGATCAACTGGATTTTCATTCTTTATTATTAACATGTAGCTACTGCTCATTGCAAGGGGTGTTCTTGAAAAGAAGTAAAGAAATAATGTCACTCATAACTGTGCATAGGAATCTTCTGTAAGGAAAGAAAGCAATGTTTGTATTCCACAAGAATTGTTTTAGAAATAATATTTTATCTTAAAAAGCATAAATATTAAAATACAATTTAATTCTGTCTGAATAAATTTTCATTAAATCTGAAATGTTTTGTCATTTTCAACGATATTAGAATCCTTTAGAATATATAAATTTTTACATGAACATTTTGTATTTCTTTGATTTCTGAAAAAATAATAATACAGATAAATAGACATGGCAATGTACATTTCTGCCTGCCAATCAATTTGCCATCTAAGTCCTTCCATTCAAAATAAAACAGGCCAGTTCTTGAAACCTAATAGATAGGGATCCATTCCTGCATCCATTGAGTTTGCAGAAAACTTAGGGCATTCTTTCTTTTTAATTCAGCTCTTGTTCAAAGATAAGCTTTTCCTTTTGCCTTTCAAATAATTAGGAAGTATTAAATATAATGATGAATGCAATGAAGAATTTGTGGAGCATAATATCAAAAATATTTTACTTAAGGGTATATTTCAAAAGCTTTATGTTTTCAAGTCTTTGTGAGGCACAGAGAAGATGCTCATTTCTGCAACACTCCTAATAAGCCTACTTGCTGTTTGGCCAGATTTTATACAATGTGTATTGCCAGGGAGCTTTGTTTTTCCTTGGAGCCTTGCGATCTCTACTGTTGTTTTAAATCTTTTAATTCAAACAGCTTAAAGCACTTCCTTGTGGATGTACCTTGACCTTCCAGCCCATTATGTTCTACAACAGCTCATGCGACGTCTGAGACCAGATTACAACATTCTCATTGGCCTTGAGCCAATATGCAGAGAAAATGCATTTATGTTCCAGAAGATTTTTACATAAATTGTCGGCTGAATTCAGAATTCCTACAAGATCCCAGCTACTGTGCCAGATCAATGTGTATCCAATGAGCTGAATAGAAATTAACTTCCTATTAGTGGCCACATTATGATATTCTATTCTGGTATTTACTCTTCATATATTCATGTGATAATATTGTTTGAAACCAATATCAGCAACTATGATAAAGTCAGGCTCCACCATTGCTTAACTATAATGAGAAACATCTTAGATTTTGACCATTTGAAATGTAATAATTGACCTTAAAATTTTGTTTGATATAGAGTAAGCAGAAGAAAAAATTTTGATAGATACATATGGAAGCAGCCAAAGGCATGTCAAATATTTTAATGAATTGCCTTTTGCTGTTATCTACCATAGGAACATCCTAATTACCTCATGGGATCAAAATCACACAATTTTCGAAATATGCATTTAACAGGGGCTGGAGAATAACTCACACATGAGAACAGTATACCTTTGTAACCCATCTCAATATTATTTAGCGGTTAGACTGAAAGAAATCTTTACTAGTTTCAGTATTTTAGCTATGCCATCTCTGTGTTTTATCCAGAAATGCTGGAAAATTAAAAAACATTGGTGAACCCAAATGCTTTCCAAGCTGCCTTTTTGCCATGAATTTGACTACTAACTGGATTTCACTAATAGCTTCTTACTTCACTGAAAATCAACATGATTTTCAAATCAGTTATATGTTGAAATTGTACATACTCTGAGGAAACCTGGGTGGATTGTCGTTGACATCTGTGAGTGTGATATTTACAGTTGTTGACCCTGACAGCCCTCCGACCTGCCCAGCCATATCTTTGGCTTGAATGACAACGGAATAATGCTCTCTGGCTTCCCTGTCCATATTGTGCAAGGCAGTTCTGATGACTCCTGTGAAGGAAAGAAAACAAACAAACAAACAAAACATCAGAATTAGCTTGTTCAAGCAGGAGCAAAGGCTGGGCATAACTTTTCTTTAAAGGAAGGGTGGAGCTAAGAGGTTAGTTGTTTGTGTCATATATATACGTTTATAAAACACAACTCCAGATGCCTCTAGACAATGTCTGCTGCATAATATGATGACATTGAAAAGTATTTGCTAAATCACTTATTATATAATTAAATAATTAATATAACCTATAACTTTCCTGATTCAAAGTTACATTGCCAAAATAACAGTGTTTTCTCATATAACTCTTCAAATACCTACTTAATAGAAAAACAATGAATTGGAACTCTTACCACAAGGAATAAGACATAAGGTATTTTCTAACAAAAGGTAATTTCTTAATTAATATCTCATGTATCTCTTAAAACTATCCAAAAGCTTGATTTTCCTATTTGACAAATCTCAAAAAAAAGTATTTTTTGGTTTTGGTACATGACAATAATTTTTTAGTGTTTGGCATCATTAATAATTGTAAAGTAAAAGATAATATTTTTATTGTTATTACTATGTTAGAGAGAAAAAACCAAAATGGAATGATCCTAAAGCTGCATTATTTTTTATCCATGATCATCAGAATTGCTTTTCACATTTAGTTACCCATACATGTAGAAGCAAAGATTAAAATAAAAGTAAGGAGAGACAACTTGATGGGCACAGCTTCAATTAGGAGACATTTTCCACCTGTGATGATATCTGTAAATTAAACCTGGCTAATTTCTTTGATCACAGACTGACAGAAAAGTCATGGAATTAAGTAAAGAGAAAGGCAGGAAACTACTGCATTCCGTGGACAGACCAGCTGGGAAGAAGCTTTTCAGAAAAGAATCTGGTGTGGGTCTCAGGCTGAACATGAGCCAGTGAAGTGTCCTTGCAGCAAACAAGGCCAGCATCTTGAAATGCATTGTCAGCCAGTCAAAGGAGGGGATCCTTCCCCTCTGCTCATCAAATCTGGAGTGCTGGGTGCAGTTCTAAGCACACCAGTGCATAAAAGATATTAATAGACTGGAGTGAGTTTTATAGAAATAAATAAAGAAATATGTAAAATGCCCAATTTATTAACATTACATTTTTATAGAGCTAAAATTTTAGCATAACTTCTATTGAAATCTGAAAGTGAACTCTTGCCACCAATAAGTAAATAGCATAACACCATCAGATTTTGCTTCTGGGTAAATTTTAATCATATAATAATTACTAATGCAAAGAATATTAAGTAGAGCCTTACTCTTTAAGAGAACTTTATGTATAGCACAATTCTCAAGCTTTTTTGACTCTCACAGTTTCAGATAATGTAAAAAAGTATTTTCCAGAGCATTATCTTTCTTGTATTTTAAAATTACATTCTTTGCATTTCTTCAATAAAACCATTTAAACATTACTACATACAAAATGGAAAATTTCATGTAGCTTATACCATTGTGTCCATTCACTTCTGAAAGCAAATCACACAAAAACAAGGAGATCTGTGCACAAAGAATTTTTTTAAGCATTCACGAAGTTTTAGAATTATTTTAACACAGTTTTGCACTGTAAGTTACTTTCCATCAGAAGTGTAGATTGGGACAAGCTGGCTAAAAATAGTATACAAGTCTGGTTTAGCTCATCAGTGTTTTTTTCCTCAAAATGATACTGTTTGCAACAGATATTTATTTTCAGAAATTGCAACATGATATATTGAAAATAACCACAACTTATACACATTGTAAATTTAGAAAAGAAAGTTTACAGAGTCACTTAGATAAAAGGAACTGCTATAATTTAAATATGCATTTTCATAAAAATAAATATGGTTTACAAAATCTATTACTACTGTTCTGAAAATATATTTTACTGATAAATAGGAATATGAGAATATCTTAGAACTGAGAATGTCCTGCTTTGACTTTTCAAATGAATTGTTTTGTTTTTTTACATTGAAACCAAAAGTATCATGCCTATGCATATGCATGTAAAAAATATGGGACTTTTTAAAAGAACCTTCCATTTCAACTTGTAACAGACCAAATGTAACATAGTAGAACATGCCTTCTACACTATCCTCCCTAGTACTAGCCACTTAATTTAAACAAACAAAAATTACCCTGATTTATGATTTCTTTTCTTTGCTTCAAGGGGTATGACACTTAATCAAGGCTTGTAGATAGTTAATTAGGATTTGTGGATGACTAATCATGACTAATCATTTCATCTCTCTCACTTGCAGAAGATTCCTCTTCTCTGAAAATTGAGAAAATTAAGTTGGGCCGGCTTTTAGTTTCAAAACCTTTTATGTAAAGTTTAGAGAAAGAAAACTAGTTTTAAAGTTTTGATGGGCTGCAGGCAGGGGGTGAGAGAAGATTTAGTTTCCTCTTTTTCCTGGGTTTCAGATCCATTTATACATCCTGAAATCATATCATCAGTATGAGGTATGTAACTAATGTGAGGACTCTAATGCTCTGTCCTTGTCACTAGCAGCTCCAAAAACTTCTGGCAGGGCAGCACTAAAATCATGCATAATCTCAAGTTTCACTATTGATCCCAAAATGTGTGAGGAGAACTTAGTTGCCTTTTCCACTAAGATAAAATTAAATGATCCAGCAGTTTCTTTTAAAGCAGGAATTGCTCCTAAGTATCTTCTGTATGCTTGGCAAGGATTGGTTACATCCCACAAGACAGGAAGTTAATCTTAAGAAAGATATTTTCCTGACTAAAACATTTACCAAAAAAAACTGAAAAAGAAAGCTGTCACAGGTTTTTTAAATTTAAACACAGTCCTAATTTTGCCTCATATTTTTTAGGCAGCACTGTGACCCTGTTAACCAAGTACTTCTCAGCTATGCCTTCAGTATTTATCCATCTTTGGTTGGAAAGGAAAAAAAAATAAATAAACCCCAAGATGTAGACGTCATTACAGGTACAACCCATATTATTTCTGGTATTAAGTAAAGAATTTCTACAGAAGTTTGACTGCTATGCCAAAAATCAAATACAACATATGGAAGGGTCAATCTATTGGAATGGAGCTGGGAAGAACACACAGGTTTGGACTTCTGCCCTCACAAATCCTCATACCTATTTCCATCTTAAAATTTTGAAAGATGGTTTTTTTCCCACATGAAAGGCTCTCCCAAAAAAACACATTTTCTTCTAACTTCTTTTATAAGTTTATTCGCCTCTAAAGCACACCAGTTTTGCTAGGGTTTTTAAATTTTAATATTTTTTTTTTGTTTGTGTGTGACAATTTCAATAGTTTTGGAAAACACTTTTTCCAATTTGAATTTATCTTTCTTGACCATATATGATGAGAAACCTACTTACTTTCCAATTAAGATTTTAATAGCATCTTTTTCAATTGCAACATTTTTATTTTTTATATGGACTACATTACATTGATGATTGATCTTTAATTGACTAATAAACCCATGGTATTTTTCCCCAGTGATACTTCCAAATGAATGAGATGAGAATTACTGTAGAACCATAGAATCTCTTAATGTGAATAGGACCAATAAGGATCAAGTCCTACCCCCTGTTACTCACAGGAATAACTAAAATGAAACAATATGTCTTGTAAGCACTTTTACTATCTAATGCTGTTAAACTTGATTATGCTTTTCTTGCTCTTGCCCAAAACTACATAAGCCTCCTTCTCAGTACTGACAGTTCTTCACAACCTATTGCAGTTAAGAAATTTCTTCATGATGGTCCTGTATTTATCCTCAAAGTATCAGATAAAACTGAGAAAAAAGAACTCTGAGATGAAATATTGGTATATCTACTATTGTGGATAGCTCCTTTTCTTTCCTTTTCCTCAACACCTCTGGATTTCAGAAAGCCCTGAAAATGACTTCATTTTTGGCAAGTTTTAATTCCATCTCAGGCTCTCTGAATTTATTCTTGTTACTGAATTGCAGTAAATACCTTTTCTTTTATACAAAATTTTAATAAAGGTACTTGTATGCTGTGCAGCATCTGACAATGTGTTAAGTTGTCTTTTTTAGCATTCTATGAAGAACCATTTAACTTACATAAAAGAAAAGCTACAACAGAAGGATCCACTGCAACTTAGACTGCAAAAATCAAGACTTTTTAAAGTTGATTTGTCTTCAAGTGCAGACAAATACTAAGAAAATATCTGCCACAGCCAGGTGCATAGCTACACATTTACTGAAGTATTTTAATATGTACTTACCCATTAGTCTGGTACATTTTAAAGAATTTATCTTATTACTTACACAAAATGAGAACTCATTTACATTCAGTAACCACCTCAGAATTTTAGTCATCTTTATTTTACAGCCTACTTCTGCATGATGTCTGAATTGCCCCAGATAAAATATGGTCTATTTTAATATTTTGAGCTCAGAGGATTTCTATCTAGTGGGGAAAACAAAAAGAAAACAGTCACACAACTCCACTTTAATGGCAAACTGTGTTTTGTCATGGGGAAGTATTTTTTTGATTGGAAAATTTTCATTCTGTTGTTGAAACATGAGCATGGTCAGTAGATATTTGATGAAGGGCCAGAAAGTCACATTTGATTCCCCATTTTCTAGTTTCTTATATATCTGTCTTGCCATGGTCATAGACAATTATGATTCAAATGCAATTCTAAATATCTACTTAATAGCCAACTAAATGTGGGAGTTTACAATTTACTGAGGGATTTGAAGTATTGTAGATGGTAATTTTATTAACATTATTCTTTCTTTTGGAATAAAAGCACTATTTTTATCACTGCTTTTTCTAGGGTATGAATTTAGCCTATTTTATTGTAACTTAATATTCTGAACATCTTGTATGTATTAAAACACATTTCAAATTCTAATATTATTCTACCTTGAAAGAGAAACCAATTTTTTCCATTTTAAGACAGATACTAAAAAAGTCAGAAAATACACTTTTTTTCTTAAAATTTCAAAATAAAATTAAAATTTAGAACTCTCAATAGACATTGACTAGA